AATTGCCGCAGAAATCAAGTAACATTTATTAGGAAATTGCAGCACATATCTACAAGTTACTTACAAAAATATGATTAAAATTTATTCCATTATGTTTGGCAACGGATATCCCGTTCTCTCTTTTTCTAGATCCTTGCAAAAAATTCCCAGTTTAAAGAATTAGCTAATGTTTAGTGGACAAAAGCAACAAAGGGTGACATGTGCTGTCATTCTGATAGATGTAATTGAAAATTGTGAAGAAAATATCTAAATTTAAGTCACCCAGGCCATCAGGCAGGGGACTGATTGTCAAAAATAACACCAAACAAAAACATACAATTTTGCAAGGCAATGGAAGTCATAAACATGTTAGCTCAGCACCCATCCAAAATGAGGATTGCTTAGAAAAAAATAACAAACCTGAGATCCTGTAATATGTCACCCAATCGAAATCTTAAATAAGATCTTATGTGTTTGTTTGTTTAATTTTGAAAAAAAGGGAAACGTCTGTCTTCAGAAATGATTAATTAAATATTGAAACACAATAGCTTGGAGACCCTAGCTGCATCATATGATAAAAGGCAATGCTTTTATAATATCTCAGGCCTTAATTACTATTAGTTTATTACTGTATTTTGAGGGAAAGAGTTTATTTGTCATGATTTTATTCAAACCACAAAGGTATTTGGAGAATATTTAAGAATTATAACTCATTATCTCAACCTAAAAGACTGCTACCAGTGAACATGTCTTATACCCTGATACTTTTCTCAACACTTGCAAGCCCCTAATTAACCTTTCAGACAAAAAAATCCTGGAAAGGATTTAAAGCGCTAGTCAGGTGAAATTTATTTAAGTAACTTCAATAATCTGCAGAAATTCAAAGCAATTTAAGCTTTGTGTTACATATTTAGGGCACAAATTGTCTTTATGCTGACTCCCTTTGACACTCTTCCCTCTGTTATATTCCAGCAGAGGTTTTTATTTCTGAATTCCCCCTCCCCCACCCAATGTCACATCATCAAATCCTGGGCTGTTTTTGAGGAGAAATAGTAATTAACAAAACTGGCTTTCCAACCTAGGGTGTCGAAAATGGAGGGTGTGCAATATATTATTTAAAAAGGCAGATGCAAAACTTCCATAAAATTTAAAATTGACTAACAACGTGAAGACAGATACTCCAATTGTTGATAGGCCTAATGGAATACTCGTAATCTTTCTTTTCTTGATATTTTCTGAAATTTTCAGAAATTCATGTATTTTTTTCATGTATCATTTTTACGGTGAGAAAAATAGTAAAACATGGGGAAGAGAATCCCACTGATCATGAAAGTGTGAATATGTGTAAAACACTGAATTTTTTCAAAGAGGAAAAAAAAAGTACTTTTGTAAAAGAATCCAGGCTTCTAAACTCTTCCTCTCATTTGTGGAACATAGAGTATATTTTGGATCAAAACATGGAACATTCCAGACAATGTGAAATCTAGAAAGGAACTGCACCTGTATCCCAATGCAGGGCCAAAAAAATATAGCTACTGAATAAATAGTCTTCCTAAATTAGGAAGAAGAATTCAAGTCCACTCCTTACGATGCACAAAAGTGAAAGTTTTACTCTTGGCATGGATATGATAAAATCGTGGGATACGATTAGCAAGAAGGTATTTTTCAGAGTTTTACTACACTGAGCAGCTTTAAGTGGAAGAGTAGATACTGTAGAAAATAACTCAGTGCTTTGCTCTAACTGAAAACTTGGTGATATTTGATGAAACTATAGCTCTTTACTCTGTAAGTTTTGAGAATTATTTGATTAATTATTTTTCCTCAAAACTACCCCTTGTGCCAGATAGAAGACATTGTATATTTGAGGATTTGCTTACCTAAACTGATGCTCTTGGTAGGGATGAATTAAACTTCTGCAGAATTTTCTGTAAGAAGAGTAACATTCACATAATGGTGATTCTAAAAATGTGATCTTTTTCATTGGAAAATATGAAGCAATGTATGTGGAAAGCTGCAAAATCTGGAGTTTCAGGCAGATTGGGCAAGGGATGTCTGGTACAAAAAAAAATAATTAAATCATGGCTAAAGATTTTTCCAGCAAAAGTAGTCATTAATAAAGGGAACAGGCTATTAACATGACTTTTGACAACACACTATTAGTAAAACTTTTTAAAAATACTCAGAAGTTGTAAAAGAATTCTGACAGAGGAGAGGCATGAGATAAAGAGGGAAGTTGAAAAAGAAGAATGAATATGTGACCAGACATGTGACATTGCCATTATTTTTATTATTTTGCAGAAAACCTCAGACTAACCAGGAGAGAGGAATGAGGAGATGAGCTAAAATTTAGCTTCTAGATGAGATCTTTTGCTCATGTCTTATATTTTTCCTTTAAAAAATGTGTGTGTGTGTGTGTTTGCCTTTTGGGTGCATTTCATGGTAGAAAAATCTATTGACTATTCTATAGCTTACAACAAAAATCGAAAAGCAAATGAAGCATGTGGAACTGTCCTCAGACACAGATAAAGACAGACCAAAATTAAATCGTCACCTTTGCATTTTGAATTTCAACAGAGCTATGGTAGGTTTCTTTAAAGTCTGATGTTTGGCTGCACTCATTTTCATAGTAGTTTTTTGCAGCTATTTTGGCAAATGCTTAAGAAAACTATATTGACAAAACCAGTTCCAAACTAGTAATGATCTGTATTTCTTTCTTCATTGAACCATTTTATTAATCTTCCAGTTTCTCCATTTATCAGAATTGGAAGCTGCTCTTAAATTTGCTGTCTTCCATTTAAGGGTTTGGTGATAAAATCTATTGTGATATATATACATGCTCAGCATTATACTAGATACTGGAGATACAACATTGAAAATTCAGGAAAGTTTCCTGGGCTTGCTGTACACCAAGTTCTTTCCCAAAATAGTTTGTAAAAGTTTTAATGATCTCTATGGCGGTATCAAAAATAATTCCTCCTTTTAATTGGAAAACAAGAACATTAGCCACTATTTGTTTCTTAGTAATTTTCCACATGCCAGTCATCCTATCTTGGAACTCCTCAATCTCAGACCAAACCCTTCTAACTGGCGTATGACTTTTCCCATGTGACCCTTTAAATAAATTCTAAGGTTTTTCCCATAATTAATTAATCTCAGAAATCAAAATGAAACATGTCACCAGGGTCTTATTTAAAGCCAAGAAATTTATTGGCTATTATCCAGCCTTCCTTCTAAATTAAACAACCCCAAACACTCCTCTTACCATCCTTGCTTCTTGATTTTAGGCATTTTCTCTTCAGACAACTGGGGCACATATGAGAGTTTTGACATGTCCATGTTTTAACCAAGATCGCATTTATGTTTTCTTGTGATGATACGTAAGGAAGCTTTTCTCTAAAATATCCATATCCATGTGCTTTTTTTTAAAATTTTTCAATTTTTTTAAAGATTTTATTTATTTGACACAGAGAGAGACAGCGAGAGAGGGAACACAAGCAGGGGGAGTGGGAGAGGGAGAAGCAGGCTTCCCGCTGAGCAAGGAGCCTGATGCAGGACTCCATCACAGGACCCTGGGATCATGACCCGAGCTGAAGGCAGATGCCCAGCAACTGAGCCACCCATGCGCCCATATCCATGTGCTTTTAAAAAGGTACATGTGATAGAAATTAATTTCCCCATCCTCAGTACTAAAATGCTATTATATCCTTTTTCATTTTTTTGAAAGTTCCAAAATTTCGCAGCTCAAAATCTTTTCTCAAAGTCTGACTCTTTAGGCCTGGTAACAATTTAATGTACAACTAAATCTTTATGATTTATAGATGGGTTACTTAAATTATACTTTATCTTTGGTGACTCAGTCCTTCCTCACCTTTGCCACTTGGCCAAGTTCAAGGATGCTGAACATGAAGCTGAACTGAGTCAGGGTCAAACATGTAGAGTGTAATCATGGGGTGTGTGTGCATGTGTGTGCATGTGTGTATGAGAGACAGAAACAGAGACAGAGACAGATTTAATTCCCAAGCCAAACTTGAGATGACCCATTTTTTTAGAAAAAAAACTCTCTCTTGTGCCAAGGTAGATAAAACATTACATATAACTAAAGAGAAAGCTGGGCACCTCTTCTTCCTCCTTTTCTCCTCTTCTCCCTCCTTTCCTCTCCCACTGCTTTCCTTCCTTCCTTTCTTCACGGCCAACAGTCTCTGAGTCGAAAGCAGAAAGCAGATTTCTTGGCAGCAGCCTAGGCAGGATCACTTCATGTCCACCCCTCAGTGTGCGCGCATCTGGTCCTCAGGTCGGTGGTCAGGCTGCTGTAACCCCTCCTCCCGGCCCCTCTGCCCTGCTGCCCACTGAAGCCCGCAGGCTCCCTAAGCCCTGAGCCTCCCCTGACCCATCTCTGAGCTATGATGCCTTCTCCCTCCCCTTTTCCCTCCTCTGCCTGTTGCCTTGGTCTTCCTCTTTCTGTGCTGTCTGCACCCTCCCTCTGTCTCTCTGTCTGCTCGTCTCCCTCTTTGTTTCTCTTGTGTGTATTCACATTTTCTCCATTTTTTTTTCTTGACTTTAGATGAGGGAGCTGCGGATTTGATAAATTGCTATTTCTTTAAAGATAGAATTGCTGTAACTTCTAATTCTTTTTTTTTCCTACGAGTCAGTGACCTTTGATAGAAAGAAAGCATTCTTACTATGGCTTACAGAATTGCTGCTTAGAACATGCATGAGGGATGCAAAGGGGCTGCTATTCATCTTCCTAAGTTCCTTAGGATAATTTTAGAAAGAAAATATCATAAACATTGAAAAGCATACTTATCCTTGGGTAGAGTTGCCAGATTTAGCAAATAAAAATACAGGACACCGGTTGAATTTAAATTTCAGATAAACAATGAATACTTGTCTAGTATGAAGTATTCTTATGCAATATTTGAGACATATGTATACTAAAAAAGTATTTTTATTTATCTGTTGTTTATCTGGGCATTCTTATTTGGGATTGACCTTTTATATATATATGTAATATTTGTGGCCAGGTATTTTTTGTTTCAGGACTAGTCATATTTAGAACTTCTTGTGCAGTTTCCCATGGAGATTTTACTGCCGCTGAGGACGACCATCAGATAAAGGTGAGTAACAGTGAAAAAACTGTAATTAAAGTCAATTTTGCTATTTACTTGTTCTGGCATGAGGCTCTACGGGAGGGAATAGTACATTTCTTATTTATTTGTCCCCCACTAATTCTGAGTTCAAAATAATGTATTAACTTCATATTTTCCCCCTTGAGTATATATCTTCTTTCACTTCCTTCCCAGTCCATCTAAAATGTAGATGGTTGAAGGAGAAAAATGTACCTACATATTCAATTCCTTATCACCTGCCTCTGAAACAGGCACTTATTTACTTAATAAACATTGTAAAAAGGGCAACATTTCTGAACCTCTTACAAAATTACATTTGCACTAGGTAGGCTTTTTCCTTAGTCACTGTCTCATTTTAAAATAAAATACCTGAAAAAAAAAATGTGGGTAACTGTAGTAGTAATAATCCCTAGCACTTTTTGAGCACTTAAGCATTTGTGAGGCACTGTTGAAACATTATATATCAAAAGGCTTCAATCGTTTAAATCCCCAAGACCAATGAGGTAGGCAGTATTATTATCCCCACTATAGAGATGAGAAACTGAGGCTCAGGGAAGCTAGGTAACACCCAGTTTCCCCTGTTATTATCATATTACATTAGTATGGTAACTTTGTCACAATTAATGGACCAATATTGATCTATTATTATTAAAGTCTATACTTCATTCACATTTCCTTAGTTTTTACCTAATTTCCCTTTTCTCTTCTAAGAGCCTACTCAGGACACCACATTACATTCAGTCCTCATGTCTCCTTGGTTCTAACAGTTTCTCAGACTTCCTTCGTTTTTGATGACCTTGACAGTTCTGAAGCATACAAGTCAGATATTTTGTAGAATGTGTCTCAGTTGGGATTTGTCTGATGTGTTATTCATGTTTAGACTAGAGTTATGGGTTTTGGGGAGAAAGACCATGGAGGTAAAGTGGCATTCTCAACATATCATGTCAAAAGTGATCACCTGGCTGATATGGTGTTTGTCGGCTTTCTCCACCATGAAGTGACTCTTTCTCCCCCTCTTTCTATACTACACTCTTTGGAAGGAAGTCACTATTCCCCACCCACTCTTACTGGGTAGAGAGTTATAATTGAACTATTATTATAATAACAGCTTTATTGAAATATAATCCACATTACAATTAATCTATTTAAAGTGTACAGTTCAGTGATTCTCAATGTATTGGCAGAGTTGTGCAAACATCACCACAACCAACTTTAAAACATTTTTATCTCCCCCAAAAGAAACCCCATACCTATTAATAGTCATTTCCCCTTTTTCCTGACCTCCCCCTCCTCCCAGCTGTGGCAACCTAATCCACTTCTGTCTTTATAGATTTTGCCTATTCTGAACATTTCATATTAATGGAGACATGGTGTTTTGTGACTGGCTTCTTGCACTTAGCAAAATGTTTTTTGAGACACATCCATGTTGTAGTATGTACTTCATTGCTCTTTATTGTGGAGTAATATTCTATTGTATGGATATACCACAATAGAATAATTTTCTATTGTATGGATATACCATCAGCTGATGGACATTTGGATTGCTTTCCTCTTTTGGCTACTATGAATAATGGTATTCACATTTGTGCACAAGCTTTTATGTGGGTATGTGTTTTCATTTTTCTTGGCTAAATAACTAGGAATAAAGTCACTGGGTATACTTTAGCTATTTTTAAAATAAGAAAAACATGGCTGACTAGGCTGTGGGCTGGCCTTGCTTTCAGCTGTCCACACAGGCTAGAAAACCGAGCCGATTGCCCTATAAAGCCATAACACAAGGCCCCACCTCTGATCCGTTGGCAGGTAACCAAACTGTAAGCCTGTTGACTAAGATGAAAGAAAACAGCTTCATAAAAGCCTGCCCACACATCCCCTTCTATAAACCTGTGGCAAATAACACAGTTTATATGCACTGAAAAAAAAAATACAGATCCCATATAATCATTGGTTTCTGTTAAAAAGTTATGATGAGAAAGCTTTGTTTCTCCTAGGTCTAGATGTCCTTCAGGGTGCCTGGAGTAGGTCATTTACCTAAATCCTCTTTTTGAAATTCTTCTATATTGCTGGCACTGTCACTGTTAGGACTAAGTATTATTTATCAAGAAAACAGGTACTAAGCAAGGAACAGTACCACTACTTTCTAGTAGGGACATATGTATAATTTTAAGGAAGTATTTGGCGGCAGGAAAAAAAATACATGATTACACAGCTTTAAGCACAGACACTTCTACACTGGAGAATGGGGGCGGGTGGTGGGTGGAGAGAAGAGGAACAGAAAAAAACAGCAAACCTAGAGTCTAGACTACCACTCCTTCCCATTAACCACTCATGGTAGGAACTAGTTCAGGTAAATGGCAATTTTAAAAAGTCAAAAATACTTGATCATATTCCTATTCTTGGTGGAAAAAAATGAAACCCAAGGGGTTTGTAACATATAGCATTATATTATTCCCCTAAAAATAAGCAGATTATCAGTGCTCCCAGATAAATGCCTTTGACCATATCCATTATTCCTTTGAAATACAATCGCCAAAATTAAGCAGGACACTTAGGGCTAGTCCTTTAGCAGAGGATAAGAAAGGGGGAAACAAGTCTGTTTTTAATGAATAATAAAGCACCAGAGGACAGTGGTCCACACAAACTTGTCATGGCTTTTCTTTCTTTTGTTCCTTATTCCCTTCCCAAGGATCTATGATAGGGTCAAACACAAATGAAGGAAAATAATTGTTGGCTGATTCTAACTGATTTACTTCTGTATCTAGCTCTAGAATTTTGCTGACTCCTTATTGAAAAAATACTTACTTAAGCAATCTGTGAAAATGCAAGTGATAGTCTGGTCCCCATATGTAAGACATACATTACATGAGGGTGTTACACAAAAGAAAGTGACAGGAGATTGCTTTTTAAAGCATGTGATCATGGCCAAACACCTAAAATAAAGTCCTTAAAATGAGCTAGGTTAGCATGTGGCTTAAAATAAGGGATCTCTGGCTGGTATTCACATGGCGAAATCTGAGGGAAAAGTTTACTTGGGGAAGAGGGGTAAAAACTCTTTTCCTGGGGACATTTCCAAACAGACTAGATGTGCCTCTGCTTGGAATGATGTAGATCAGAGCTGGTGTGCAGGGAATGTGTCTTAGGTGTGTAGAGATAGTGATCATTTCAGCCGTAAGGGGAGCTGGGCAGGGCCTGGGGCCCACAGAGACCCAAGACAGATCAGCTTTGTCCACAAGCGTCCTCACAGATATACCCCTGAGTGTCATATAAGTGCCATTTTATATGTGCTCCACAATGTGAAAAAGGTTGAGCAGCTCATATTTAGGTGAAACTTGCCAGAGGTTGACCTACATGATTATTCATTAAGGATTAAGCATATAATTCCTCATCATTCCTTCTCATGAAGATAAACAATAATGTGATAATTGTCAGTTTTTTAATGTACCTTTAGAATTTGATTGTGTATTTATTCATTTATTTGATTGTTTGTTTGCTTGTTTATTTAGATGTTGTTTTTAAATGAAAATATTGCTACTTCTTAGGCAGCAGGACCAAAGTGTTTTAACAGGTGTTACGGACTCCGCATGAAGTAGCTCTAGCCAGGATTCACAGAAATCTTCAGTGCATCTATGGTTTACTAGGTTAGTGTGATTCTTGGTGTCTTGATTCTGTTGATTGGGGTTCCACCTTGTTTCTCTGCCTGAGTTTCTGTCTTGGTGTTTTGCCTGATACCCCAGAATCTCCCAGACCTTAGGCCCTGTCTTGTTCTTACAAGTCTCTCCTCCAAAAGAATGAATGTCTCTGCTCCTGAAATCAAGCCCACGGCATTCCAGGAAAAAAAAACAACAAAAAAACAAAAAACCCAGCATCTGTAGATAAACACATTCAGAGAGATTGTGAGTAGTTCAGCATGACTAAAATGAAGTGGAAAGATCTGAGAAGAGTAAAAAATAAAATGAGGTAAGTAGGGAACATATCATGAAAGACCTTCTATGTCATTGTAAGGGTATATATAATATGATCCTGTCCTGCTGAGGACATAATGTGGTTATAGAGATATCATGTATGGCATATATAAATATAATATATTTTTAAAATCTACTTGATTATAAAATAATACATGCTCATTAAAGAACATTTGGAAAGTATAATGAAATTTAAAGAATAAGATAAAGATTACCTATTATCTCATTACCCAGATAGAATTGCTGATGATATTTTGGTGTATTTCTTTCCAGATTTATTTTATGTGTATAATATATTGCTATTTAGCATAAGAAGAATAGTCTGCTTCTTTCACTTAATGTTACATTTTGTACTTTTCCCATGCTGCTAAAATTCTTCCAAAACACAGTTTTAATGATTGCTGAAATATTTCATCTTAAGTCATACAATTTATTTAGATATTCCCTTAGTACTTGACATTAAGTTGCTTTCAATTTTTTTTCTTCTTATAAGTAATAGTGTAATGAATATTCTTGTACATAAATACTTATATTCTTCTCTGATCATTTCCTTGGGATAGTTTCTTGGCAGTAGAATGTCTAGGTCAGGGCTAAAACTTCAAATTTTCTGCCTAAGAATTTTCAAATTACATTCCGCCAAGGTTGTATTCATTTTTATTTATATCAGTGTATCTCATTATACTCTTCTCAACACTTAGAATAAAATTATTTTTTATCTTTGTGAATTTGATAAGAAATAATGGGTTTTTTTTCATTTAAATGCATTTGGTAACTAATGAGGTGAATGTTATTTTTTTTTTAAGATTTTATTTATTTATTTGACAGAGAGAGACACAGCGAGAGAGGGAACACAAGCAGGGGGAGTGGGAGAGGGAGAAGCAGGCATCCCGCTGAGCAGGGAGCCTGACGCGGGACTAGATCCCAGGACCCTGAGATCATGACCTGAGCTGAAGGCAGACGCTTAACGACTGAGCCACTCAGGCGCCCCAAGGTGAATGTTATTTTTAATGGTCATTTGTATTTTTTCCATTAAGTGGCTTGTCAGTGCCATTTTCTGATTTTCCTATTGAAATGTTAGTGTAAGACTATTAATATAAATCCCCAAGTGACCTTTTTGTGTAAGGACATAAGTTGGGTATATTTAAGTAGAAGATATTGTAAAACAACAACAACAACAACAAAAGTCACTCTCTGGAAACCTAATTTAAGGATAACTTAGGGGTGTCTCAGTGGCTCAGTTGGTTGAGTGTCTGACTCTTGATCTCAGCTCGGGTCTTGATCTCAAGGTCATGAGTTCAAGCCCCATGTTGGGCTCCATGCTGGGTGTGGAGCCTAGTTAAAAAAATAAAATAAAATAAAAAGAATATCTTGGAAGTAATTACATTTCTTCACACTCTTCTTATTGATATTAAAGGTAAGCTAAAAATGGACAGATAACCTTTAGGAAAATGCGACTCACTAACCTAAATAGAATTGTCTGCTCTAATTATGTTGTTGTTGTAGTTACTCCTTCCCTCAAGGGTTGAAAATAATCAAATGTATTTTGTTTACAAAATCCTATCCTCCATCTTCTTCTGGGCTGTGGGCTGCTTATAAGAATAAGTATATAGAAATAGCAATGATGGCCACAAAAGATTTTTTGAAGAAGACCAGGTGAAAACATTCAAATAAGAATTTGAGGGCACAATTTACCATTAGAAAACTTCAATGCAAATAATCTTCTGTACTTAAACCAATGCATTCGAAACCGAGAAGATATATACAATATGAATTTGGAAAGATCTTTAAATGATAGTCCAAATGCAGGACCACCACAGAACTTTCCTCCCCTAAATTAAGCCAAATACAAAAAATGAAGTGAAAAGAGCAAAGGTTATATGATTGATGCTACAACCATACAAGGGTGTCTATCTTATTCTACAAACTTCAAGAATATCATCCAATATAACACAAATTTTATCAAATTAAAAGGCGATGCAGGAAACAGACTCCTGACTTTCTCTCTCAAGAGAGAAACACAGTGAGGCAATCAGTAGGCAGATAAAATTCTGGAAAACCTCACTGAGGTTTGGTGGTATGAAGAGTGGGGATGTAAATAAAACGTAGAGAACTTCTAACTTGAAACCCCACCTTCTAACCTCAGATAAATAGTATGAACCTAATTCAGAAAAGTGCATAGAATTTGCCTCTTTTCCCTTGGGTGTAAAGTGAAAGAGGATTTTATTTGTTTGTTTTTGTTTTTGTTTAAGTAGCAAATAAAGTCCCTGGATGACAGGTGGGAGGGAGAACGTGTCACACAAAACTAAAAATCAGAACACCCAATGCTTGCACACTCAGTGCACCAGCTTGATGACCCTGGAACAGGGTAACATAGTGAAACTCAAGAGAACCTCAGTGCCCCAACTATTTGTCTGCAAGGACAGACCCTCATCCCCCAACTTAATGGAATGGACTTGTTATGTAGGGTTCATTAAAGAGAGGTGATAAAGTTCCATGATCTCATCTCCCCAAGTCCCAAATTCTCCAGCCCCTTCCTGCTCCCACAAGCAAGTATAGAACAAAACCACAGCCCATTAACATGAGGTCTTAAAATCCTGTTCGAGGGGAAGACTCAAATATTACCCAGATGAACAAGATCTGGAGTCAAGGAGAATTTGCTACATGACTTGGAAGCTAAAAGGTAGGATAGGATTGCAAAGCCAAAGGTGAGTAGGCAAAACAAGCTGAAATGGGACCTATGCAAAAATTTGTTAGTCTCCCCTCCGTAGGTCCCCCCAAAGGGAAGAAATGCGATGAAGAATCCAAATTGGAAGACGTGTTACTGTGGAAGGAGAAGAAGTGTTTAGATACTATATTCTTCACACTCTTGAGGAAATTAAGGAGAATGTGAAATAATGTCAGGGCACCTGGGTGGCTCAGTCAGTTGGGCATCTGACTCTTGATGTCCGCTCAGGTCATGATCTCAGGGTTGTGAGATCGAGCCCTGTGTTGGGCTCTGTGCTGGGCATGAAGCTTGCTTAAGATTCTCTCTCCCCCTCTCAAGGAAAAAAAAAAATAAACATAAATAAATAAATAAAATAAAAGGAGCTGGAAATGTTAACGAAAGGAACTGAGAAGAAAACAATCCAGTCCCAGAACAAAGAAATATGTTAGAAATAAAAAGGCACAGAATGAACATGTGGAAAACTAAGTCAAAGATATATTCAGGGGCAGAAATATTTCTGAAATGATTAGTTCAATTTACATATTAAAGGGTTTCAGGGGAAAAAATAACAGAAAATAATTAAAACCAATGTTGCTGGTGAAGCAGCTGAAGATAAATATTCCTATAGGCTTCCTGGAAAAGGGATCAAATTGCCTACACAGGGAAAAAGAATTAAACTGACTTGAGACTTCTTCTCTGGAACATTCATCTGAAAACTGAAGCAACATCTAAATGTTTTAAGAGATAAGGGACTTGACTGAAAAATTCCATACCCAGTGTCATTTAGGCAACAGATACATACAGGCAACATACAAACAACAGATAGCATCAGATAAGCAAGGATTCTGGAGATAGACCATTTCTTGAAGTCTACTTGAAGATATAATTCAATCAACAAAGAACTGAAATAAAATGAAAACCTGCAATGTCTGAGTCAGAGAGTATGCTTATTTTCAACTTTACTGGTGATTACAAAAATGCTCTTTGAAGTGGTCCTTTGGATTTACAATGTAGCAAGCATGAACTTCCCCACCTGCTTGCCAACACTTAGTATTGTTAAGATTTTAAAATTGTTGAGGTGCCTGGGTGGCTCAGTCGTTAAGCGTCTGCCTTCGGCTCAGGTCTTGGTCCCAGGGGCCTGGGATCGAGCCCCGCATCGGGCTCCCCGCTCAGCGGGAAGCCTGCCTCTCCCCCCTCCACTCCCCCTGCCTGTGCTCCTCTCTCAATGTGTCTCTCTCTGTCAAATAAATAAATAAAATCTTAAAAAAAAAAAAAGATTTTAAAATTGTTTCCAATCTGATGTGCACCAAATGGTATCTCGTTACTGTTTTATTTTGCATTTTTCTGATGTGAAGCTTGATTGCTCTCCGAAATAGCTATAGCAACTTTCATTCCCATTAACAATATATTAGCCTTTATTTTGCCCCACATCCTTGCCCACACTTGACATGTGGGGAACAAGGATATCATCAGTTGGCCTAATGTAGCCTGCAAATTTGATATTACCTCTTTTAAACATTTGTGTAAATACTGCTAGACCCTCTCATACAGACTGCATATTATAATACATATCGTGACCTCCTGTGTTCATTCAACAATGTATTGTAGAGGATTCCACAATCCTTCTTGCATCTACCCCTTACCAGTGACAAAGTCTGTGAAGGAATTGTATAGGAAAACTATTCCTTCCTTCCTTTGTCACATAATTTAACTAAAACTCAGTGAAGTTTTAATGGAGTATCAAGCTGAAAATCCTGAATGATATATGGAATTTTCTTCCCCTTGATATAGTGGACCATCCAATGGATCTTCCTTTTCCTACATTATGTCACTGTTTGATAAGATAAACTACCCAGAAACTGGCTGTGGTTTCACAAAAATATGAATATTTATAAATAAACTATTGATTCAGCCAAATTGCTTAATTTCCAGTTAGTTATGGAATCATAAAATACAGTTTCCTTAGATACCTAAGTAATGTTTTATTGGGCAAATCCCTTTGAGATAAGTCAAACTGCACCATAGGCAGATTATATTTTACAGTCACTCTCCAGTTTTATTACCGTATAGAGTCAACCAGTTTCCTTATTTCATCATTGTAACTTGAGTTTGTCTGCATTTCTGTCAAAAACACATTTTCTCCTGCTAAGGGTATTAATGATAACCTAGCACAAAAATCTAGAAATAAGCACCTAGTAAGGTGCCTGGCACACACAGGGTTTCTAACGTTAGTTGTTGACCACATGAAAATTAAGTTCTGTTCTCTCTCTCTCTTTTTTTTTAGAGAGGGAGAGTGTGGGGAGAGCAGAGGAAGCAAGAGAGAGAATCCCAAGCAGGTTCCATGCCCAGTGCAGAGCCCGAAGCAGGGCTCGAACTCACAGCCCTGAGATCATGACCTTAGCTGAATCAAGAGTAGGACTCTTAACTGACTGAACCACTCAGGTCCTCCCACCTCTTTTTTTTTTAATTGAAGTATAATTAAAATATAATGTTATATTAGTTTTCAAGTGTACAACATATTGATTCGACAATTCTATACATTACTCAATGCTCACTATGATAAGTGTAGTTTATTCACCAGTCAATGTTAATACAATATTATTGACTATATTCCCTTTTTGTACCTTTTATCTCTGGGATTTATTTTTTTTATAACTGGAAGTTTGCACCTCTTTAGGTTCTGTTTTATGATTGAATTTCCTATTAAATCCATCCCTGCATCCCATGTTATATTTGAATTGTCATTTTAAGTGGTGAAATATAGATCATTTGTATCATATCTATATTATGATCTCCAGTACTGGATCGTCTTAAAGTTGTTCCATTTTTCTAGATCAATCTTGCAAAGGTATGTGGGTCATTGCAGATGAGATATAATTTTACATATTATATAAAGAAATATGATGTAAATAACTTCTTTTGGTACCCTTCCCTGAGCAGCTACATCACATCCTCCCCCACACTAATCCTTTAGGATCCTGTCTTTCCCCTTGATCAGAAAACAAACTTATGTGTGCAGAAATCACACCCAGCAGCCATTTCCACTTAAATTGGAAAAGATTAAGTGCAGGTGGCCAGAATGCTAATTCTAATCTTGGACTTTGCTTCTCTCATCCTATTTCAAATTTTTGTTTATATTCTAGTTAACAAGGTGGATCAAATCCATATCTTTACCTCTGTCACTCTATGAAGCATCATCAAAATGACAGAATAAGAATTTTAAATGGCATAAACTCACTAGTACAGACAGAGTGAGAGAGGAGATGACAACAGATGGAAGATTCCACAAATTTCTAAGAGAAAGTAGAAGGGCCCATCATAACTGACTTAATGGAGTGGAGAAAGCTAAAACCTAAGTCTACAGAAGGCAAAGATAGAGAGCTAATTCATCCTACAGAACACTAAAAATTTCAGGAATTGGAGACATCAGGTACACCTTGGTTGGAGAAGATTGAGCACTGGTTGAGAGTCTGTACTAAGAGCATTTAGCTCCCCGCCATCTACTCCATTACTCCACCCATTTATGCAATTACTCCTCTCTTACCCTGAACAAGAATTGAGATTTATTCCTTGAAGAAATTGAAAGAGAGAGAGGCTCTGAGCACAGGGACTGTAGGCATAATGGAAGGTGTGGGTGAACACCGTGCAAAAGTTCCTCCTTGTGCTCCAGCATCCAAGCTTATATCTTCCTCTTGCCTCCAACCAGTCCTCCAACTCCCTACCCTCCCCCACAACCACCACAGTTTTCCCCAACCAGAAGATTGGATGATTCGCCCCTGGAGAAACTGCTGCAAGAGAAAACAAATCTAGACACTGACATTTGGAGACATCTCAGTGAAAACAAATGGGCTCTACTGAATCACATCACAGTGAAGCCCACCAGTCAACAAACCCTACCCATGCCTCACTCTTAAGTAGAATCTGTCAAAGATCACTAAACATTTGAGGAACACCTCCACCATGACAGGCACACAAATAATAATTAAAAAAAAAATAATAATTTGCTTTCAATAATCCGAAAAAAAAAAAAACTCAGAGAAAAGAAATAGAAACAATGCAGGGAGCAGAAAAGAGTTTCAATAATGTTCTGGAAGGCAGAAGAGTGTATACTGCATCCAAGAAAAAAAACCAATCAGAAACAAGAAAGATCTCTCAAAAATTAAAAATGTGATAGTTAAAATTAAAAACAGTCAATATAAGGATTAAGAGATAAAGTTGAAAAACTGCCCCAGAAAGTAGAATTAAAAGACCAGAAGGTGAAAAACAGAAGAGAAACGATAAGAAAGTTAGAGGATCATGCCAGAATTTGAAGAATAGGAATTCTAGAAAGAGAGAGTAGGGACAGTAATGAATTATAAACTATTGGGGAAAAAAAGAAATCCATGACGAGTCCATACCAAAAATAGAGAGATGATAGATAGATAGGTAGGTAGATAGATAGATAGTTAGGAGACAGAAGGATGGATGGATGGATAGATATATGGGAAGGGAAGGGAAGGTTCTTTTAGTAAAATGCTGAGTGCTTACTTATAAATGTGAAGGCAGTGCAGGAGTTAAATCATCATTTGCAACCATCAAAGTAAAGATTGGTTTAGGCAAGAATCATCAGTAGTTGCAAAATCTAGGGGGAGATTTCAATGAAGAGAACATTAGCATTTACAATGTCTTCCCACAGATTGCTTATTGGAAGGAGGAAAAACAAACTAATGGGGAAAAAATTAACTAGCACCTTGACTGGATGACCAAAATTAACATCATCAATAAGGGGGCGGGGGAAGGACACTGCATCCAGTGTCCAAATGTGATGCCCTAAAAAGGACACAGGACCAGGAATTCTGACCAGGAATGCATAGTTTGAATCTAAACAGGAAGAAACAACAGGAAACCAAAATGAGGAACATTCTAATTAAATAGAAGGGAGGGGGGCTTTATTTATTTTATTTTATTCTTTTTTTTTTTTTTTTTTTTGTAGAGGCGGGGAGACTAAAGGGAGGAAGATAGAATCTTAACAGGCTCCATGCCCAGCCCAGCTTGGAGCCTGACATGGGGCTCCATCTCATGACCCTGCAATCATGACCTGACCTGAAACCAAAAGTAGGACTCTTCACCCACTTGAGTCACTCAAGCACCCTGGAGTTTTATTTATTTTAGCAAAAGCATCATAAAAGACAAAGATAGGCTGTGGAAGTAGTCCAGATTGAAGAAGACCAATGACATCTAAATGCAATACCTGATCTTAGACTGGATCCTGAAACAGGGGGGAAAAATAATGTAAGAAACACTTCTGGATCAACTGACAAAATTGATCTATTGGAATATGGATGGTAGATTATTGTGTCAATGTTAAATTTATCAAAGTTGATGATGAACTATAAGGTGTATACACACACACACAGCTTGTGTGTGTGTGTGCACAAATGGGGCAAAATGTTAAGAATAGGAGAATCTGGGGGAAACTATAATATATGATTAAACCCATGTAATCTTGAAGCTATTTACAAATAAAGAGTTGTTAAAAATTTCTTCCCTCTCCCTTTTCCTTAGGAAGCTACTAGAAGACGTACTCTAACAAAGATGCAGAGGAAACCAATTACAAAGACAAAAATCCAGGAGACTGGGGAACCAACACTGGAGAAAGGGAGAACAATTCTCAGGATGGTGGTAAAGGCAAGATTGGCAGCTTTGCAGGAGGCAGAAAAGAACAATTAATCCCACCTGGAGTGGGAGGATGGAGAAATTCCAGAAAGATGTCTCCTCGATTTCCCCAAAATGAAACCAATAGATCATCTGATGTGGCTGTGTTAAAAAGAGTTTTATATATGTTAAGGAAAAAAAAAAGAAGAAGAAGAAGATAGCAGGAGGGGAAGAATGAAGGGGGGGAAATCGGAGGGGGAGAGGAACCATGAGAGACAATGGACTCTGAAAAACAAACTGAGGGTTCTAGAGGGGAGGGGGTAGGAGGATGGGTTAGCCTGGTGGTGGGTATTAAAGAGGGCACGTTCTGCATGGAGCACTGGGTGTTATACACAAACAATGAATCATGGAACACTACATCAAAAACTAATGATGTAATGTATGGTGATTAACATAACAATAAAAAATTTAAAAAAAAGTTTTATAATTCTTTCGAAGAGTTTGGTAAAAATTGGCAGTAGTCAAAAAAAAAAAGGGTTGAGGGGCAATTATTAACTCTAGGGGAAAAATAAGCATACAGAAAAAGAAATGTAACACAATATGCTATTGGATCACTCATGGATAATATGTACATGGTAATAATAATGTAAACACAGAATGTTCATTTGTCAATTTGTGATAGAACTACCTTGAGAAAGGAAAGAAGGAAAGAAAGGACAAGGGGTGGGTGGGCGGGGTGGGGGGTAGGGAAGAATGATAAATTCACAGCTTCCATAGGTGCAAGTTAGATAATACCCAAGGTGCTTAATAAAGAAAAAACAACATAAGCAAATCATTTAGAAATATGGAGGGAACTCTCAGAAGAAACAGAAAGAGCAGAAGAAATTGGTAGAAGACTATTGGTAGAAGACTTTGTATCTGAGAAGCAGAACTCAGAAATGGTGGTGTGAGGAAGTGGATTATAGTTTTTTGGGGGGAGGGGCATTCTTTTTTTGGTTTGTAATAAGCCGTGTAATACTATTAGTTCACCTATTGCATGTACTGTTTGAATAAAGGAGAACATTTTAAAATTCCAAACATCTGTTTATTATGATGATTAATAATGTATTTATTTTACATTTCCTTTTTCCATAGTACTAGGATATAAGTAAAGCAAAAGGGAGCTGCCCATTAGAAAGGTTTGATTGTTATAGTCATGATAAAATTTAGTTTACATTAATTTTTTAAAGCTCTGTGTGTGTGTGTGTGTGTGTGTGTGTTGGTTTGGAAGGGGAGAGGAAAAGGAAGAGTGGGTTTTGAACAACTCAGGTATTCATGGAAGGAAAGAAGGAACCTGTATTCATTACATGTGCTATAATATGCTCATGCTCAAGAAATAATTATGATCCAAGGGGAGTTTAATGCTTAAAAATAAGAAAAGGAAGGGGCGCCTGGGTGGCTCAGTCGTTAAGCATCTGCCTTTGGCTCAGGTCATGATCCCAGGGTCCTGGGATAGAGTCCCACATCGGGCTTCCTGCTCAGGGGGGGTCTGCTTCTCCCTCTGCCCCCCTGCCTGCTTGTGTGTGCTCTCTCTCAAAGAAATAAATAAAATCTTTAAAAAAAAAAATAAGAAAAGGAAGCACAAAGAGAGGTGCTCCTGTCAAACAGAAGGGTGTAGTCTATAATTTTAGATACAGAACAGGATGGAAAGGGGGAAACATAAAAGGTGTTTATTTGATGTCTGTAAGCTAAGTGCTCGATCGCATGATGTGGTGCAGTTGGGGAGTCATTCCACCCGCAGGACAGGTGTAACAGAACAAGGCACAAGAGGAGTTTATACATGTCATATGGGTTTCAAGCTGAGATTTCCCTGGGGAAGTAGGGACGCCAAGGAGAAGAGTGTGGGTGGTACCCAATCACTCAGTCCGGTTGGTGGAAATTTCAAGGCTAAGCAGAAATATGCTGAATTTTCTTTGGCAAAAAAAAACGTGTTAAGAATACCAGTGATTTCTTAATCCAATTTTGCAAGTACAAACAATGACTGTCTATTATAAAAAAGGCTATTCAGATTTAGATTTCTTCATAGTTCCAATAAGGCAAAGATCAAATTTTTAATGTAAAAAAAGGAAAAACAGAGAAGTAGACCGTGAGTGAGAAGCTTCTAAAACTTTAGAAGCATTGTCATTGCTTTATAACTTATGGCATTTCATACTATAATTTTTCCAAATGGAAGTCAATATGCAAAACTGAGTTAAAATGTTATGGTTATGGAGTTTTTCTACTCTCATGTCAATCTAAAATAAAATGAAGCATATCCTTTTTCAAAGGCTGGTGATGTCTATATTATTAATTGGGAATGCTTCTTGGTTATAATGCCAAAATCTCATAAAAAAAAGAATTTTTAAGGGGCGCCTGGGTGGTTCAGTCAGTTAAGTGTCTGCCTTTGGCTCAGGTCATGATCCCAGGGTCCTGGGATGGAACCCAGTGTCGGGCTCCCTGCTCAGCAGGGAGTCTGCCTCTCTCTCTCCCTCTGCCTCTCCCTCTGCCCCTGCCCCTGCTCATGCTCTCTCTCTTGCTCACTCTCTCTCCCAAATAAATAAATAAATAATTTTTAAAAAACCACACGCACAAGAATTTTTAAGCCCATCATCTGGATGTTCCCAAACATCTAGCTATTCAGTGCCATGTAGACAAAACATACAAATAGCCTAACCCAAAACACAAAGACATTTCACAGAACCTTGCAGGTTGTGTCCAGATATTTGGGATGGTATAGTTAGATGTTCATTGCTCTTATCTCAGGCCTCAGAAATGGGCTGTGCAAAGTACATGGCTTTGTTTAAATCTGCTTTAAGCTAGCTGGACTTTTTGTGAAATGAGTTATGATTACAACTCTTTGCTTTCATAATCACACACGCAAGTTTGACCATTTTATTTAGCACATCAAGCAAAAATTAAAAAAAAAAAAAAGAATTCATACCTTGGTATACAACCCGGGATCAGGAGTTTGTTAAATTTATCTTAGTGTTCTGCTTGGTCTCAAGTGGACAAACTGGTAGCTTCATTTTTAAACATAACAGAAAGCACAACCACGTACGACTCAGTTGTCTTTTTTCTTGAACTGAGGACAGCACAAGCATGAGTATCCTCTCTAAACACAGCATCCCCCTGGAGAGAGTCAAGAGTGAGGAGCACTCACTCTACCAGAGGAACATTACCCTAAACCCACTACCCCAAATTTGGAACTTGAGAGAGGGGGGGAGACTTTAACCAAATAAGAAAAAAAGGAAGGAAGGAAGGAAGGAAGGAAGGAAGGAAGGAAGGAAGGAAGGAAGGAAGGAAGGAGGGAGGGAAGGAAGGAAAGAAGAAATGCTTCCCTTACCAATAACTTCTAAAGTTATTGATATATATGTTTACATGCATAGATATGGACCTAGAGCCAACAACAATCAGGCTCCCATGGCTCTAATATAGAAGAAAATCCTCCTGTGTGGTAAAGAAGTAACTGAGACAGGGAAAAAAGAAAATACTTCCTGATTTTCTGAGTTTCTGAGGTTTTTAGTGAAAGAGATCATTCTTCTTGGCTCAGGACTACTACCTTTTCACTGGTGGCCCCGCGGGAAGTTTATACATTCTTCCATAACAATATGGAACATAACAAAGAGAATAGGATTCTCTTTCCAGAACCACCTATGTTTGGGTGTCCATTGAATAACAGAATTGTAGCATGTGAGACCAGGAAAGGCCACCTACGAGGGAATTCAGTCCAAGCATTTTGTTTTATCCATGAAAGAATGAAAATGCAGGGATATGAAGGAACTGATCCACAGTTCTGGAGCTAATGAGAAGCAGAGCCCAGGGATCCTGTCACTGGGTCTAACCTTCAAATTCTTGAATCTTTGCTGAGATCGCATCTATAATAACTTATTGATGTGTTTTTGAAAATGTTGTGGCTAAATAGTGCCAAGAAAAGAATATTAAATTTGGATTTAGGATTCTTAGGTCGTAATCCCGAGGATGTTTTTCATTTTCTGTAACTTTGGGCAAATCATTTTGCATCTCTCGTGCGCACTTTTCTAATCTATAAAATAAAAGTGTCGGTCCGGATGATCCTTAAGATTGCTTCTACTTCTACAGTTGTATGATTATTTTGCTTTTGAACAATTTTAACTGTAAAAACAAAACAAGAGGGGCACCCGGGTGGCTCAGTCATTAAGCATCTGTCTTCGGCTCAGGTCGTGGTCCTTGGGATCAGGGATCCAGCCCCGCATCAGGCTCCCTGCTGGCGGGAAGCCTGCTTCTCCCTCTCCCACTCCCCCTGCTTGTGTTCCTTCTCTCGCCGTGTCTCTCTCTGTCAAATAAATAAATAAAATCTTAAAAAAAAAAGAAAAGAAAAGAAAATAAGAAAAACCCACCGATTTTTTTTAATCTTCATAATTCATCACCCACTGGAGCAAATCTCTATCCTTCATGCTGTGCCTCAGCCTTAGCTTCCCCTTTCCACCCCGCAAAATGGGAATTGTTTCTGTGTGGTTAGTTCTCCTTATACATTGCTTACCACAGCACCATGCAGGCTCAACGGCTTAATAAGTAGTTTTCAATGTGATGATGACAACAATTATAAAATGTGGTGCAAATGTAGACATTCCAATCCCGGATGTTTTAAAAATCTTTATAGAACCCTCTTTGCTATTTCTGTTTTACTCTTCCTGTCAAAGACCAAGAATAAAATACTGGTTTGGGCAGAAATAAATTGATTAAATTCCTTTACTGTCTACCCCCAGCCAAAGTGTTAGCTAATTAAGTTTGAGGGGATCTCAGAAGAAGCATCTTTCTTTCCTGGCCCCTGGTCGCCAGGCTTTATCTAATCCATTCAAAAAATATTGGAATTCAAGTAGATAAAAAAAAAGTTGAAATACAGGCTCAATAAGATTTTAGCTCTTGGGAAGACTGGTATTTCTTTCTTGTTAATGTGTATTTAAAAGGAAAAAAAAAACTTTTTAGGAGATTAAAGGAGGTAACCTGTTTATAAATAAGACATATGGAGGTTTATGGTCTCTAGGATTTGCCATAACATGTTCCCTAGAAAAGGAATTCCACACTATTGAAAAGGGTGCAGGCCTGCCTTTAGTCTAAAATGAAAGTTGAGTAGCCAAAGGTAACTGCCCAGTAGCAAATATGAGTCACCATTCCAA